CTTGCCCAGCCTCAAATGCCCACCAGGGCTTTGTGGGCGGGGAGGAAGCCTACTAGCAGAGCCTTAAACCCAGGGCCACCTTTCCCAACCAGCTGAATCAGCCCTACCCATCAAGTGAGGCTCTCTTTCCGGGTCTTTGCCCCTTTCCAACTCCTGGCCACCACCCCTTCCCCAGGCACTCACGAAGGGGTTCTCCCCAATTCGGGAGGCGAGCAGGAAGGCGTGTAGGTCCCCGTGCTTCATGAAGGGGAGGATGACCATGGGGATGGGGAGACGGCCTTTGGCCCTGCTCCGGAGGCTCACCCCTGGGGACAAGGGAGAGTTGAGCCAGTCACGTAAAGGTCAAGGGATAGCCTGGGTGTCCACGTGGGCCCTGCCTGTTGCATCCTCTCTCTAGCCCGAGCTCTCTCTCTTTCCCCACAAGTTCCACTGTGGCCTGCAGACAATCCAGGGTGCTCTGGCTGCCCTCACATCTCTGGAGCACCTTCTCTGTCCCCTCCTCCTCCTCTGTGGACAGTCTTCATGATCAGACCTCTGGTACAGGATCTGTAAACAGCTCCTTACCAGGAGTCTGATCAGATTTCTGTCAGGATCCCCAGCCCCTTGCTATTTTGCAGTCTGCTTACTTATGAGGTTAAGTCCAAACCCATCTCCCACAGGATACCCTCCCACCTTGGAGGAGCAAATTTTAGCCTTATTTTATATCTGCCTCTCGCGAGAAGGGGCTTACCAACAAGCTTGGCCACGTGTGGGTGGTCAAACTCCTTCATGCAAGCCGCTTCCCGAAGGAACTCTTCTATGTCACTTGAGGCAATGATGTCCGCTGGGGAAGGAGAAATGGACGGGATGAGGGAGATGTGCCTCAGCTCTGACCCAAGACCCCTGGGACTGGTCCTTGAGATGTCTGCGGTTCCCTAAGGGCATAAGAAGCTGCCTGGCCATGAGCAGGAGAAATGCCATGGGCGGTGCTCCCCCACTTTCTCCACTTGCGACTGCCTCCCCTTTGGTTTGGACAGCCCAGCAGCCCAGCCAACCACAGCTTTAAACACCCCAAGAGTGAGTGAGCCCAGACAGTACAGACGTCAGAGAGCAAAAGCTGATAGGTGTGGGTTTCTGCTTGTGAATTAGTCACATGGAACAGCTAGCATCCCGGTGAGTGCTGAAAATCCAGGGGGCCAAGCAGAGTCGACTTCAGGATCAGCCGATCCTTTCACCCTCGAGTGATATCCACATCTGCTATTTTCCACTCACCCTTAAGCATCTTTACAGCCACTTTCACAAAGGAGCCATCGTCTTGCTTCAGCTGAGCCTCCCGCACCGAACCAAACTCTCCTAGGAACCAATCCAATGATGGTGAATCCCCACGGCCTCCTGTGCCTTCCTCTCTTCCCTCCCAGAAGACCCTCCGTAGGGACACAGAATCATTAGACTCTGGGGCCAGAGGGAGAGGCTCCCTTGTCTGTAGCCAAAGCAAAGCTATGCTGGGAATAACTCCTAACCCTCCTCCTCCCCAACCGCCATGCCCCCAAACACGCCAACTATGGCGTCTACAAGCATACCCTGTCATCCTGCTGACAGGGGCTGACCCACACCGCCCAGTGATGGCAGCAACCAAAACACCCCACTCCCCGCACAGCCCCAAAAACCTTTGCCCAGCATCCGGCCCAGAGTGAACTGCTGCTCTGGGATGAGAACATCCTCCAGTTTGTCCTTCAGCTCATCGCTGATGCCCAAGCTGTCCACTGTGAGGAGGAAGTGGTGAGAAAGGGAAGGGGCTACTTTGATTCCTCATCTAAAACCCAGCCTGCCTCTTCCACCCCAGGCCTCACCCTCAGAGAAGAGATGAGCTTAATTAAGCTCCCCCACAGCTAGGACAGCCACCTCCGGGAAGGGCGGTCTTGGTGTTTTGCCCACCGTTGTGTGCTTGGGGCTCATCAAGATTCAGACATAGGTGTCAAATTAATGAGTTAATAAAAGGACTGCTGCTAGGGACACGAGAGCCCATTTTTCCCTCCTGTGACTCCCCACTACTCACATGTGGCCTCAATGCGCTCAGGCCTTTCTCGGTTGAAGGACCGGGCTGCCCGGAAATGAACAGCTGGCTCCCCCCGGGCCATGACACTGTCAAAGGCTTGCCTAAAGGGAAAGCAAACTTGGGATCAGCTCCAAGGTCTTCAGTCACCATCTGCCTCTCCCTCCATGTCTCTACCCTCTTACCCGAACCGTGTCTCCTTTCGCCTCTTTCGAAGCAGGATGAGGGCCAGAGCAGCAGCCGTCACCAGGGCTGTCAGCACACCCAGGACCACGGGCACCCAGGAGGTACGGCTGTGGGGCGGGCCCTGCTGGCCTGTGGGAGGCAGGGGCAGTGGCATGAGCAAAGCGGACACCAACGAGACCCTGTATAACTTTTTGATGATGATCACCTGGCCTGGTCAAGAAGTCCCCCTAAGTCGATAAGGGTCCCAAGTATAAAAGAGGTTTAAGGGAAGACCCAAGAGCTCCTACCCTGCCAGTGACAGTTTTGGGGGGAAAAGAATGAGGTATAGTTTAAATATCAACTCTGGTCTTGACAGCTTGACTCTGAGTTTTTGGATCTCTCAGGAGAGGCCAGCCTCCTCTGAAGTGTCTAGGTTGTTCTTAAAAGCCTAGAACCCTGTTCCCTCCCCTTATAGGCCTCACCTGCATGGTCATGAGAAGTGACCACTAGTGGCTGGCTCCAGGGCCCCCAGCCAATTGCATTGGAGATGCACACACGCACAGTCAGGTCCTTCTGTGGATCCCAGCCTGTCAAGTTGGCCCTGGTCCCCTCCACTGTCAGCTCACCCTGCAGCCAGGAAAATCCCCCAACCCACAATGAATCTGAGGAACAGGTCTCCAGTTAGGGACCCATTTGAAGACAAAAAAGGACTAGCTAGGAACATGGGAGGCTAGAGACAGGGTGGGCTCAGGGGATGCAGGAACACAACCTGCTGAGAGCAAGCACATTCCTGCTCCAGGCAGCAGTGGCCTCTCCTAAAGACAAACCACGGCTCAGTTCCAGAATGCAGGGGTGGGGAGTGGGAGGGAACCGGGCTGGGGAGAAGGAGGCCTTATCTGTGCCCTCCCCCACTTTGTGCAGGAATGGACTTCCTGCTTTGCACACGAAGTGGCAATCCTCTTGGGAGACATAATCCAGCGAGGAACACAGCCAGAAGGAGAGCAGGGGGGATGTCCAGCCCACCAAGGCCCACCAAGGACAGCCATTCGGAATTTCTGCAGGCCTTAGAGCCCTGAGGGCTGATTCTGGCACACCTGCTGTGGAGTGGAGGCTCTGTCACTCCTTACCTGGGTTCCGTTGTCTTGAACCCAGGACAGTTTATAGGGTCCCAGGGGGACTTCCAAAGGGCCCTCAGGGATCACTTCTTCCCACTCCAGGATGAGGCCTGAGTCTGTGTGGATGGCATGGAGGTTCTGGGGAGCACTGGTTGGTGCTGTTCCCAAAGAGAGAAGGTTACTAAGAGTGCTGTCCTTCCCACCATCACCAACCCAAGCCGGCAGTCTTTGCAACTGACTCCAAACTGCTGAGAAGAGTTCCCCTCCCAGGCTCCTGGGAGGAGGGTAATTAACAAAGCCCCGAGCAAGCAGCTCAGCAGATCACTGCTCTTCATTGCCTCAATAGCTGCTGGAGAACACTAAGCAAGTTCCCACCCCGTGGTCTTTGCATTGACCGTGCCTCCTTCCCCCAGTGATTGCCCCTTAATGTTTATGACCCTTCCCTTATCATTCAGAGCTCTCCTGGACCACCCTCAGGCAGGCTTCCTCACCACTCATCTTTTCCACTCTGCTTGTCTGACCCGCCCACTAGAATTACGGATAGAACTGCTGAGAGAACTGGATTTATCTAGTTCACAGGTATGAGGCAAGCACTCCCTTCATCGGCTGAAGAGAGCAGGAACCTCCCTCTCGACTAACCCCTCTCCCACACAGCTCCATTAGGAACTGCAGCCAACAAAGTCCTTATCCCACTCACACCCTGCCCTTCGCAGCCTCTGCTTTGTGCGTCCTTTACCTAGACCCCTTGTCCGGAAGGGCACCCAGTCAGCATATGGAGAAGGCCCCAGGGCATTGGCACAGCGCACCCTGAGACTGTAATTGGTGGCAGGTGCTAGGTCCCGGACCAAGCAGGTAAAGGGTGGCACGGGAACCACAACAGCCAGGACCTCCCAGTCTCCTGGGGCCTGCTTCACCTATAAAAAAGTAGGAAACAAATGATGTAGAAGAGAAAGGAGGAAGGTGGAACAGGTATGGGGCATGAATTAATCCCTCCTCTAAGTCTATCAGCAAACACTTGCAACCCACCCCCTTCCCACTCACCCCCAGCACTCAAATACCAGGTTGCGTATTTCCATGCCTTTGCAAATGCTGTTCCCTTTGCTTGGAATGACCTGTTCTTCCTGGCAAAGTCTAACTCATTCTTTAAGACCCAGCTCAAATACAATGCATTCTCTAAAAACCTTTTTCAACTGCTCCAGAAAACTCATATCTAGTTCATGATATGAGTTGGGTGCCTATCTCGGTTACTTCTTAGAAGTAGTTATCGTTTACTGTAACTGTTTGCATGCCAGAGTTTCTCAAGGGCCAAGTAACTGGGAGCCTAGGAGCACCAGGAGCCAGAGCTTCACACATTGGGGGTCCAGGGAAAGAACACACATGGAGATCTAGGTACCAAATGGCTAAATATTTAAACATTACACGTCAGCTAACAAACTACTAAATATTTTCTATCATCATCATATGTCGACAAATAAAATTTCAAAACGTGGAAGTTCAGGTTTGCATTTATAGTCCTCCAAATCCTTGGGTTCTGGAGCCAAGGAAGAATGTGGGTAGCACAAGAAGAGCTAGCTTCCAGTCAGGTATACCCACTACGAGGGACATCACATGCACAGGTGGGGACAATGTCGCCTGCACCCCCACCCCGAAATGACTGCCCTTTGGGGCAGTCAGGAAAAGGTATAAGTACCATGTGGTCCACCCTTGAGAGGACAGACCAGGGAACAGGCCCACACAAACTGCCTTGGGGTGTGCTCGTGATCTGGATGGGCTTGATGGACGGGCTTGACCTTTGGCCTTACAGATTCCCTGCCCAGAGCAAGGGGTGTGGCCAAAGGAAGGTCTAAGTGGGGGTCCTCTAAATGGTAGAGCCCAGAGTAGGAGCCTTCTCCTGTCCGGGGTAACTGCCTTCAACAGTTTCCAAGGTGCTAAATACCTTTTGACTAAACATGAAAACGAGCAAGCCTGCCTTGCCTCCTGCTTTCAGTATCGCCTTACCGACCTTTTCTACTGCTTAATGCTGAGAACCCCTCATCCCCTTGTTCTCTTTGGCATGAGTCAGAGGGTGCGCTATGGTAAGTGCCGGTATCAGATAAATCAAAGGTTTGGGTATTTTTCCAGTTATCCCAAATCCGCTCTAGTGATGTTTTCCAGTCTGTAGACTGCAAGGGTTTGAGCCAATGTGCAGAGCTGCTTGGTTGCCCCTAAAGGCACAAGGGCCCAGACTCTTGGGGGAAGGGAACACCACCTAAAGGGGAGCTGAAAAGTAAGCCCCAGGGCAAAGGATACCACTCCCACCTGGAGAGCCCGCCCGCCTGTGTCAGCCTACCTGGACTGTACAGGACTGGAGCAGGGCCAGGCCGTCAGCCCCTGGCATCCAGGCCACACTAGCATTGCTGCTGGAGAGCTTCGTCACTGTGATGTTGAAGGGGGCTGCGGGCAGTGCTGTGGAGGGGGACTTGGCGTCAGTGCCCTGGCATTCAGTGCCCAGGAAGGAGAGACGGGAGCGGAAGGCATGGGAGGCAAGCCTAGCCCCTCCTCGGGCTGGAGGCCCCAACCTCAAGATGGCCACTCAGCACTCCAGACCTCAGTCACGCACGAACTGAGCGACTAGTAGGCAACAGCTGGTCATGTCAGAGTAGCGCCTAGAGTGCCCAGGGTCTGGAGAACAGGGCCTCTTCCTGAATCAGGTCCCCTATCTGATCAAGGAATACGATTAGATGGTGAGGGTGTGCGGGGACAGCACTGCAGCCTCAGGAGACAGCCCTCCTATAGCCACAACCCATTCCTGCACACACAGACCTCTCCTTCCTTCCTTCCCCCCTCCCTCCCTCCCCCCCCTCCCTCCGCACACACCGGCCTCTAGGTCTCTTCAGTCACCCTGCTGAGATTTCCCCACCCCCATCCTCTGCAGGGGCTGGCAGCAGCAAGGTTGGGCATGAGCCTTGACCGGCTCCTGCTGGCTCCCTCTTCCTCCCTCCCTGAACTCTGCTTCGTGATGGGAAATCTGCTGTGACGTCAGGTTTCTATTCTCATCTCAGCCAAGGCAGGGTCTCAGGTGCTCCCACTAGGAATGGAGCTAAGCCAATTAACCCCTTATTCTTCAGATCCCAGCAGGGAGGAAGGAAGTGGAAGAACAAAAGATCTTAACTTCACCCACCGCCGGTCAGCTTACTCGCTATGCCCCCCTCCCCCACCCTCCCCCCTCCCCCACCAGCCCTCCTACCTTGAAGACGAACAGTGGCTGGTCGAGAAGAGGCCAGACCTTTTCCATTGTGAGCTTCACAGGAGAACACAGTGCTCTGGGTCACCCCTGGAGCGAGAAAACCTCAGTCAGCCCCCCTACTTAGCAACCCCCACTCAATCTGGGATTGGGGAAGGGAGATATTTAAGGTCTGGGTCCAAACATCCTAGAAGTCGCCCCAGCCAAAGGAGCGTGCTATCCAGTGGGGGATGGTGGAAAGAACAGGGATTTTGGCAACTGATGGACATGGATATAAATCCCACAGCTGGGGGCTCTGTTTTCTCATCTCCCAAATGGGAGAACCAAATGACGTCAGTGAAGTGCAGGACACAGAGCAAGCAGTTGAGAAATGTTATACCAACCCTCCCACCTCAAGCCCATCCCTTGCAGAGAACACAAAACTGCCTCCCTTTTCTGGTCTCTTCTTTATTGCGCATTCCAGAGACCTCTGTTTGCTCTGTGCCATGTCATTGCTGTATTTGCAGATTCTTTGCTTGGTAATAGTTTCCAGCTTCTTATGTATGTGTCTTGTCTCCCCAAATACAATAATTCCTTGGGGGCTGAACCGATGGCTTTCTGTTCCTCTTTTGTAATCCCCCGGTCCCCCGTGGTGCCTAGCACAGTGTGGCGTGTGGAGTAGGAGTTCAGTGAGTGCTTATTATCAGGCTGGCTGCCTGAAGGTCCCAACCACGCACATCTGGAGAGAACTGAGCCCAACCTCCATTCTAATCCGCTCCAACCCAGTGCCTCCTGAACAGGACTGCCCTTGCTTGCAACAGGTCTCGAAGCCGGCCCCTTCTCTCGAGATTCATACTGCTGGAGGATGTGGCAGATCAGACCCTTCCCTCCCTCCTCCAGCCCATGACACTAAGCTTAGCCTCCCATCTTTTTGGGGCAATTCAAGCACTGAAGAGAAACAGTAAACTTTGTTTCATAGATAAGCGCCTTCCAAGCATGTATGTGCTAAGGGATCTGGCGGTCCAGGTGGGTATGCAGGTATGGCTCCCTTGGGTCTGCGTGAAGACATCAACAGATACAGTTCGGGAAAACGTCTGGAGAATTACAGGGTGGGCCACTAGGAGGGAGACCCTGTGTCTTTGTGCTGGAATCTCCCTCCTCTCTTTCCTCCTCCTACCATTCTCCACCCTGCAGGCTGAGACTCCTGTCTTCTAGGCGTCTGCCAGACACTCCTCTTAGCTCTGCGTGGGCTGGTTCCTGGCTCCTTCTCTTGGAAGGGATGGGGGAATGGGTGCCCTTGGCCCCACGCAATTCATCTCCAGGGCCAGCTGTGCTCAGCCTGGACTACTGTGAAAGGGAAGAGGCTCCAGCACCCCCTCAACACAGCAGGACCACCACTGGCCAGGTGGGCCGAACTGCTCAAAGCCCCCTCCTGAGGCTGCTCACCTGTTACATTTAAAACAGAAGGAGAGGGAGTGGGTTCCCCAACCTTCGTGTCTCCTCTCCACCAGATAATGGTAACAGGTTCAGGTGGACCCACAGCCTCACAAGTCAGTTGGAAAGAGGCATTGGGTGGCACTGCCAGATCTTTTGGCTCCACAGTGAAAAATGGCACACCTAGAGAGAAAAGGGGGAGTAAATCTTACCACTCCTCCTTGGTGTCCTGCTGCCCAAATCACAAGTTTGCTCCCACTGGAAGTTCTCTAAGTAGAAGGTGCCATGGGTTCTTATGCTTGGTCTATTATAAAAGAAACATCCAGGGCCTCCTTGGTGGTGCAAGGGGTTAAGACACAACCTATGAAGCTAACAGAGGCCTCTGCAGCACCAGTTCGATCCCCGGCCAGGGAGCTACCCACATGGCGCAGGAGACCTCTCCTGACTAGTCCGCTGCTCCCCTCAGCAGTGTATTTCAGTCAATCTGCCTGTTCTGCTCCCCTGCTCAGCCTCTGGTGACTCCTCTCAGCTCCTCCCACATCTCTGGTCTGTACCTCCATTCTTGTAAGCATAAATAAATAAATCTTTAAAAAAAAAAATGAAAATGAAGAAGAAAAGAAACATCCAGCTTGATGAGGGAAATTCTCTTCTTTGGTCTCCTAAGGAGTAGATCCTTTATGCTGTCCCCCAAGGCAAGGTATTCTCCCTTCTCAGACCAGCTCAGCCCATCTCTCAGACTAAGGGAAAAGAACCCGAGGATGAGGAGTTGGGGGAAGGAGAAAAAGGAGGGGGAGTGGGTGGGAGCTTTAGCAGAGTTCTGCTGGCAGGCCCAGCTCCCGTTCAGGGCCCTTTGTTACTTTCTTAGTCACTTTGTTTTCCAGGGCTAAACAGCTCTGGGCTCAACACAGCTGCGGGAGCCTTCCTCCCCTCCCCCACACCCCTTCCTGGCCTGGCCACTTGGCAGAATAAAGTCCAGCCCCAGATGGGTACTGGAGGCTTGTTGCTCAGCCAACTGAAACAGGCTGTACTCCATAGGTTGTAGGACCGAGTAGCTCCCTTGGCGTTCAAATACCCACACTCCAGTGGGCATGGTCTTCTGACCACTTAGGGCATGGCCTAGAACCTGGTGCAAACGAGGTCCCAGAGGGCAGTGAGGCAACCCGGTTTCCACTGGTTTCTGCACAGGAGTGGTCACTAACAGACAGCACCTACTCCAGACCAACATGCTCACCTGCCACTGGTTCCTCACCTTCTACAGTGAGCCATACAGGCTGGGAGGTCTCGGTTTCTCCCCCATCCTCCACCTGGCACCAGTACCGGCCTGCATCAGAGCGCTCCACTGACTTCAGGCTGTGGAAACAGGACACCAGGCTTGCCTCCCGGGGTTACAGGGGGCAGCTCTGCTGGGCACACTCAATGGCTTCAGCCTGCCTCCATTTCTGGAAGTTTCCACTGGTTGCCAAATTAAAAAAATAAACTACAGACTTCTGTGCATCAGTACTGCCCTTAGCTGGCAAACCCCAAGAGCTCAGCTTGCCCCAGGCCTGGCATCTGCACCTTCCCCCAGTGTTCTGCACCTGAGGAAGGCAATCCAGTGCTGCTCACTGACTGAGATGTACATCTGATCCACACTCTGGACCACAGCCCCATCCTTCATCCACTGAATCTCAGGCTCTTTCATCCCCTCCACGCTGCAGTTGAGATTCACGGGCTGCCCCTGAGATACTGTCAGCTTCACTGGGGCTCCCATGAGCTTCAGACCTGAGAGGTAGGAAGGAGAATGTGTCAGTCGGCTTGAAAAAGATCCTGTCTCTGCATATATCCCCCATCTTCTTCCAGAACCTAGCTCCATGTCAGAGGGCTGGTACTCAGCCACAGCCAAGGAGTAGAGGCGATACAGTAGGAGGGAAGGTGGCCTGGACCTGGGACAGGGAAGGAGCACCACAACCTCTCTGGGCACCATTTCTGCAACTGTCAAGTCCCCCCCCAGTTCTAAGGAAGTGATCTTTTCCCCATACCTTCCCTGCTGGGCAGCGTTAAGCTCAAACCCAACTTCCTAAAGGGAAGACAAATCAGGCTGAACCAGTGGGCATTCTAGTTCACCTGGGGCAGGTACCGCCCTGGGAACCACTACTGCACCCAGTCAGTGCAACAGGCTGCCAGCTCTCTGCCCAAGGTGACAGCCCAGACTCCACGCTGCTGCTGGCATTCCCCCCTGCATCCCACCCTGGCAAATGAAAGGAGGCTGAAGAAGGAAGTGCTCCCCAGAAGTAGAGAACATATGGCTGCAAAACCACGTCAGATCAAACACATGGCAGCCTTCCTGGCAGCCTCCCGCTCTATTAATACCTGAATGTGTGCAGGGGTGGGTGCTAGGAAGGTAGGAGGTAGAAGGGAGGGAAGGGGCCCTATGCAGGAAGTCCAGGACTCCTGAGCTATTGGCATACCAACAGGGACTACCTTCTGGAACTCTACCCTCTATACACACACACACACACACACACACACACACACACACACACACCTTCTAGTCACACACACACCCCCCTTCTAGTCTACTGACAATCTGAAGCAGAGACAGGCAGGTGAAGTATCTACATTAGCTGAAATCCAGACCTGCTTCTTCCCGCCCTTTGCTATGTGACTCTAGGTGAGCTCCTGGGCTCTCTGATCCTGCGAAACCTACCCCTCAGTTTGTAAATACTTATCATTCTTTCACTTCCTTTCCTGGAGAAGCTGGTATGGCAGGGAGTGATTCTCAGGAGCAGGTGCCAGCTGGGTGACTACTACTTTGGCCTGTGCCTCTTCCCTATAATGGGGCTCGCCCACTCAGGACAGTCACAGAAAGGAAGCATCGCCTCCTACCCCATGCACATCCAGCCGTCCCAGGGGTATGGAGCGTAAACTTGGGGATCCCGGGTCTGGCCACTGCCCACTACTTCGATGGTTATGTGGGAACACAAGGATAACCCAAGACCAGCAATCTTGCCCAGTCCACCCTCTCCAACACCCCGGTTTCGGGAAGCTCTGAGTGGCCACAGGGACCAGAATATTCCTGGATGTTATCTGGTGCCCGGGCACTCACAGCCCGGGATCTACACCGTCCAGGGACAGCTCTGGAGCGCTCGGCTCCAGCCCCCGTGGCTTCGGCGCGGGGCTCGGGCGCGGGGCGGCGGGCTGCGTCCAGGGGCTGGGAAGGGACAGCCGGCAACTAGGACTGCGAGGCGGGAAAACCCGGCCCCCCACACCCCCCTGGCCGCTCAGCCCCCAGCCCCCTCCCTCGCCTCGCAGCCGGCCAGAGGAGCCTGGACGCGAGAAAGTTGGGGGTGGAGGCCGGACCCGCGCTCCGCCGCCGACACCGCCCGGCGCCCCCTCCCCCAGCCCCGCGCCTCGGCCTCCCGGTGTCGCCCCCCGCCCCCAAACCTCCGGCCCGCCCAGGCCCGGAGCTCCCCCGGCGGCGGCCCCGGGCTCCGACCGCGGCCGCGCCCCTCCGCAGCCCCCCGCGTCCCGCCGCCCCGCGCCTACCTGCGGCCGCGGGCTCCGGGAGCAGCAGAGCCGCCAGCAGCAGCAGCGGCGGCGGCAGAGGCAGCGGCGGGAGCCCCGGCCGCCCCATGCTCCGCCTCAGCGCCATCGGCGGCGGCGCCGCACCATGCCCGGCCCGGCCCGCGGGCGACCTGGGGAGGGGCGGGGGCGGGGCGGGGCGGCAGGGGCGCGGGGCCGGCGCCGCGGAGACCCGCGCCCGCCGCGAGCCGCCGCCGCCGTCAGCCGCGCGGGGTCCCCGGGGCCGCTCCCGGGCCACCGCGCTCCTTCCACGGCCGTCGCCGCCGTCGCTGATTCATGTTCTCGGAGCCGCCGCCTCCTCCCGGCCCGCCGCCCGCAGCCCGCGCCCGCCCCCCCGCGGAGCCCCGCGCGCGCGCCCCGCCCCGCGCCCCGCCCCGCGCCCCCACCCGAGACCCGCCTCGGCCCCCCGCCCCCCCGCCCCCACCCCGAGACCCGCCTGAGACCCGGCCCGGCCCCCGGCCCGCCCCGGCCCCCGCCCCCACCCCGCCCCACGCCCCGGCCCCCCGCCCCCCACCCCGAGACCCGCCTCGGCCCCCGCCCCCCGCCCCGCCCGCCCCCGTCGTGCCCGCGCCCCGCCCGAGACCCGGCCCGGCCCCGGGAGAAGCGCCCCGGCCACGCCCCTCCTCTCCCTAAACACGCCCCGCGCCTCCCAGCCCGGCCTCCGCCCCCCCCGCGGTACCCGCCGGGCGCCGCCACCACGCCCCAACTTTTGTCTAGACGGATCCCAGAACCCGGCACCCCTCCGAGCAGAAGCCTCTCCCGCCGCCAGGCCCGCCGAGCTGCCGTGACTCAGGACTCCCCCAGGACGCGCGGGCACCCCCTTTGCGCCTCTGTCACGAACCTTTTCCCCGAGTTCCCAGTGTTTGTCCAAGATGACCTTGGACCTTGGGGCGCGAGTTTTTTCGAAGATCTTGGCGGCCCTCAGGCGCCGGCTCCGAGGGCCGAGGGCCCCGACGCCGCCTGGGGCTTCCTCCCCGCGCCCCGCGCCCGGGACGCGCCGAGAGAGCTGGCCGCGGCCCCGCCGTCTCCATCGAGGCAGCAGACACTGCACACAGTAGGCCCGCCGTGAATAAATAGATGCCTGTTAAAATGAATGAACAATTACCTCAGCGCTTGGCCTGCCCCACAACTAGTAATCACGGGGGTGGGCGCCCACGGACATCCTGTCAGACGGATGCAGAGCCGGTTCCAAGCCCCGCCGACGGCGCTCCCGCCCGGCCCAGCCTCGGCCTGGCCCCTCAGCCACCCCGGGGCGCCCTTCCCGCAGGCGGGGAGAAGGTCAAGACACTCGGCTCGCCTTGCCCGAGGCCTCCCTGCATCTTTTCAGGAATTCTGAGCAGCAGGGGCCTGCCTCTTCCTCCACTTGGCCCCGTCAGTGCTTGTTTATTAATTACACTAATGATAACAACAACAGCCGTGTTGGCGGCGGCCTCAGACCCAGCTGGGGCGCCCCCAGGCGGCAGCACAGGGAGCGGCTGCGGATGCGCCGTCGGTTGCATGGCAGGGCCCCGAAGGCTCAGGCTAGCCAGTGCTCCGCCAATTTTCTTGGGCAATGGGGGTCGGTTCCAGGACCCTCTTCTTAAAGAAAAAAACTTGGGGTGGGGAGACAACAGAAAAAGGAAAAGAACTTGCCGCCTTCCACAATCCACGCCTTCTGAGCTTGGGCTGAGTTGCATCAGGGCAGGCAGACAACAGTCTGGTGGTGAAGTCAGACTTGCCAGAGGCGCGGCTCCTGCAGCAGTGTGGCCGCTGCTGCCCTGACTTGAGGACTTGTCACTTCTCAAGGACCTCTCCCCTCCTTTCCTCTCTGGAGAGGACTTCACATGTCCGCCGAGAGGAAACCTCCTCCTATTGATCCTGGCTGTCTTTGGAAAGACTCCTAGAAGCGGTCTTCCGCTTCCTCTCACTTCTTTCCCACATTTACTGAACTCTGACAGGGAGGGAATCCCAGCCCAAGGGCCCGTGCTCTGTCACCTGTTAAGCAGACTTCTCAGACACGGCATGGACTTAACAAACTCCCTACCTCAGACTTAACAAACTTCCTACCTCAACTGAGGCCTGTCACTATCCTGTCACTATCCTCCTGGGGTGGCACCCTTTCCATGGGGGGGCCAGAAGCTCTGAATTCCTGGTTCCTCTACCCCTCTCAGTTCTTAGTATTTCCTTTGCAGGATGGAGGTGTAGGTAGGGCCCTGGTCTTCTGACTTTCCAGCTTCTATAGAGAACAATTGCCTTCCTGAGCCTTTGTGGCCCACTCTTCTTACCCATGCCCCCCACCTTCCTCTTCCGTGCTGGGCATGGCATAGGAATGTGCTGTAAGTGTACGTGAGCAGGTGTGACTTTGTGGAAGAGGTGTGTAGGTGGATGAGAGGGTGTGCATTGTGATGTATGAGGGAGGGTGTACATTTGTGCAAACTAAATGTGACTGACGCTTTGTGGGGATAGGGAGAAAGTGTGTGTATGTGTGTGCGTGGAGGAGGTAGACTGCCTATGCAAATACATGCCTGCAAAACCTCCTTTTCATTGCTTGAAGGAAACTAATCAAATTAACAGGAAATGTATTTGACCTAATGCAGGAGCAGCTGTCCCAGGAGTTCCTGTCTTCAGAACAGGACCAGAGTCAGTTATGATCTATGAGGGGGGGGGGTTATAAGCGGAGGGAAGGAGATGGGATAGGGGGATGAGACAACAGCAGCCCCTCATTATGAATGGAGCCAAGCTGGGCTGTGGCATCTCCACTAGGGTGAAATAATCATCCAACCATCCTCTGCCTTTTATGATCCAGGACTACCCAAGGAGGCCAAGGATGGAGGAAAGACAAACCTGGAAATATAACCCATCTGCCCACAATAGCAGAACATGCTAATGGCAACGTCCATCAGTCCCAGGAAGCAACAGTTTCAGTTTTTTCAGAGTTAGGACCAGCTCCCTTCACCCCCCTCAGGGAATAGAAACATGCAGGAACCAAGGTGAGCTGTGAGACTGGCAGTCTCAGGTCTCGCTGACCTTATGACTAAGGACCTGTTCTTTCCAACTACTGGTTAAAGAGGTGGGTGTGGGAAGTTCCACTTAGAAATGGGGTATGCCACAGACTGTTCCTGAGCACCCTAGAGAAGTCAGGGAATCTATGTTAGGGGGGCTTAGAGGGAAACTTCCTACAGATGTGATGCCAGGGGCACTGAGACTTGTAGTGCCCATAGCCGCCTTCTGCCTGAAATTCCTAAGCCAGACACGATGCCAGCCCTTGCCCAGTTGAAGATGAAGCAGAAAGGTAAATTCCTAGAAGATAACACATTTTGACTTACAGTCCTCGGGGCACTTTCAAATAATCCTCCCCCCCCCCCCCCGCCAAAAAAAAAAAAAGCAGATTTAGAAATTGGAGTGAGAGCAATAGATTGGGGTTTCTGAAATGGCAGATGAGTCCAAACATGTGGAAGAAAAACTTTATCATCTTCAAAATGTCACTTAGGGGTGGCCCTGAAAGGAAGGGTTGCACACATGAGTGTGTGTGAATGTTTCCTATCTGACTGTCTATTGCGCTCTCTTTTTTTTCTTTTTCTTTTAAAGGATTCACCAGACAGAGTGGGGAACAGAACAGGCAGAATGACTGTAGTACACTGCTGAGGGGAGCAGCGGGCAAGGCAGGAGAGGTCTGCTGCGCCATGAGGGCTCCTTCCTGGCTGGCCAGGGATGGAACCATACTGCAGAGGCCAGCGACAGCCCAATAGCGCTGTCTTCAACCCTGCGCCACCAAGGAGGCCCTATTTCTCTTTTTGACCCTCTCTGCCTGCAACCTTGCAAATGAGGCATTTCTGGCTCTGTTTTCTAAAACACCTCTGATTGTGGACATTTTATTTTTTTAAAAGATTTATTTATTTATACAAGCACTGGGTACAGTCAGAAGCGTGGGAGGGTGAGAGAATTCACCAGAGCCAGAGCGGGGAGCAGAGCAGGCAGAAGGACCGAAGTACACTGCTGAGGGGAGCAGCGGGAGGCCGGAGAGGTCTGCACGCCATGTGGGACCCTCCTCCGGTGCCCAGGGAACAACCGGGGATCTAACTGGCGCTGCAGAGGCTGTGGGCAGCTTCACAACCCAGCACTCAACTGCTGCGCCACCGGGGAGGACCCCTGATTGTGGACATTTTAAACATATGCTAAGGTAGGGAGAATAAAATAACAAACCCCCAATGTACCCATCACTTTGTTTCAATGATTATCTTAGCCAATTGTATTCTATTGTCCATGTTTAGTGGTGTTGCTGGAGTTTTTATTTTAAAGAGGCATATTATTTGTTTGTTCATTATACATGCACTTACATCAGCTTACAGGCACCGAAGTACATGCTGTATCTGCGCACAGATCCTTAAAAAGAGGTAGCTTAACCATCTCGCTGGAGTTTTTAAAGACAAATCTTAGTCATATAATTTCAGTAAATATTACACACTATCTGTAACAGACTTAAAAAGTATCCATCCACAAATACATTCAGATGGTTACATATAGAATATTATAGATGTATATGGATATATAGCTATGCACAGATATAATTCCTAAAACAAGACACCCCAGTGGCAAGGAACATACCTAGCACCTAAATCTTGGCTTCTAACATAATTTTCCAATGAAAGGATGCAAGGATAATTGCAGAAATGACTGACTTCAGGATCCAGGCAAGGAATACACAAAACGAGCCTGGAGCATCTTGTAGTGACAAAAGTAAGGAAGTACAAACAAAAACAAAAACTGAAAACAGACCAAGCCCCCTAGCCCCCGCCCTGCCAAACACACACACACACACACACACACACATAATTTATATTTGAATAAATAAATTAATAGGGAGCATAGACAAGTCTCCCATGCAGACCTCCCTGGTGGCACAAGGGGTTAAGTCTCAGCACTATGAAGCTATCAGCAGCCACTGCAGCACAAGTTCAATTCCCAGCCAGGGAACTGGTCCATATGGTGCAACAGACCTTTTCTGTCTTGCCTACTGCTCCCCTCAGCAGTGTATTCTGCTCCCCACTCTGGCTCTGGTGAATCCTCTCACCTCCCTGCACCTCTGGCCTATACCCCAGCTCTCATGTGCATAAATAAATAAATAAATCTTTTAAAAAACTCCTATGCAGAAAAATTCCAAATAATGTATGTACATACTCTACCATCAGGAAGGGGAGCACAATTCCCCACTTACTAAGTGTGGGCTATATGTAGTGCCTTCCTTCCAAAGAGGACAAAAGGGATAATGGGGGCCTCCCCGGTGGCTCAGCGGTTGAGCGCTGGGTTGCGAAGCTGCCCACGGCCTCTGCGGCGCCAGTTCGATCCCCGGCTGCTCCCCGGCCACCGGAAGAGGGTCCCGCATGGTGCGCAGACCTCTCCTGCCGCCCACTGCTCCCCTCAGCAGTGTACTTCGGTCCTTCTGCCTGCTCTGCTCCCCGCTCTGGCGGATTCTCTCACCCTCCCGCGCTTCTGACTGTACCCAGTGTTTGTATAAACAAAACAAAACAAATAAATAAATGAATAAAATACATGCCTCTTTAAAAAAAAAAAACTTATAAAAAAAAAAAGGGATAATGGGAAGAGGAGTGGAAAGATCTGGCAAACTGCCTCAGCGACAAGATTAAGGTTAACATCAACCATGACAAATTGTGCAATGGTCTGTACACTTGATACAATGTGATAAAAACGGCATTTTAGCTATGTGGTCTTCTTCCCAAGATCCAAATATAACCTCAGTCCAGTCTTGAGAAAAACATCAAACAACTCCTAACTGAGGAATATTCTACAGCATATTCTACCCAGTACTGCTATAAATTGTCAAGGTCATCAAAAACAAGTCTATGAGGGCCTCCCCTGGTGGCGCAGCGGTTGAGCGCTGGGCTGCGAGGCTGCCCACAGTCTCTGCAGCGCCGGGTTCGTTCCCCGGCGCCACCGGCGAGGGTCACACACACACACACACACAAAACAAGTCTATGAAAGTATCACAGCCAAGAGGTGACTAAAGAGACCTGACAACTGAATGTCACGTGGCATTAATTCTAACAAACTTATTGTATTAATATTAAATATTAACAATGGGGGGCTTTCCTGGTGGTGCAGGGGTTAAGACGCAACCTATGAAGCTATCCTCAGCCACTGCAGCATGAGTTCAAACCCTGGCCAGGGAGCAATCCACATGGTGCAGCAGACCTCTCTGGACTCGCCCACTGCTCCCCTCAGCAGTGTATTTCAGTCAGTCTGCCTGTTCTGTTCCCCCCTCTGTCTCTGGTGAATCCTCTCATCCCCCCCCCAACACCTTTGGCCTGTACCCCAGCTCTTATATGCATAAATAAATAAATCTTTAAAAAAAACCACAGCACTGATTGTACCTAAAATGGTCTTTGGTCAAGTGTGATTTCCTAAGGTCTTACGAGCATGACAACATGCTGGGTGCTGAGCGTTATGGACACAAAAGAGAAGGCTTGGGGGCCCCCAAGGAACTCAAAGTCTAGTCAAGGCAACAGGTCACATGATGTGGAAAGGTGGCAGCTGTCAGTGGCAGCTGTCAGTCAGCAACGCCTTGCCTTCCAAATGCCACACAAGTGGGGCGGGTGGAAAATCCCAGGTGATTATAAGAAAAGTTCAGTGAGTAGGCCCAGTTGGCAAAGGCTTAAGAGCTGTTTCCTGCTAGACTTTAAAAGAAAAGAAAAACCTGGAACTGGAGGTGGCAGGGATAAGAGGGAGGATTTCCAAACAGGGAGACAGGACAGGATGCTCAGGAAGGGGATCACCTTGCCGGCAGCAAGCCCCTTCTATTCTCTCCTCAACACCACCCTTCCTACACTGTCTCTTTCCTTAGGCCTCGCCTTCCCTTTTCCACGGTTACCTTCTTGTTTGCCCATAAACATATTAAGGAGGTTACACAAGTGTGGGTGCAGGTTTCTGTGTGCTGCCCAAGGGACTGGGTGCTGGAGCACAGGGTGTGGTTATCCCACCCGGGGAACCCAGAAGAAACCTTTGCCTTGGCGACAGGTGCTGTTGGTGCAGAGGGGCCGAAGTGAATCCAAGGGCGAGTTAGGGATAATTTGGCAGCCTCGAGGACAGTGCAGGGCCTTCAGGAGAGTTAAGAAAGGATCCAAAGATAAGGACAGCAAATTCCAAAGGGGACTAATCAAACACCCCAGGCCTTATGAGATTACGGACTTACTTTATGACTTCAGGGTCAACAAGACATTCCAAATAGAGGGCAATGAAGAAAAAAAGGTGAGGCTGGGACACAAAGACTTAGTTCTGGGCACAGAGACATTTAGGCAGTGAGTGAGACCACGGAGAACTAACCAATCACAAAGAGCCTGGCGGAGCTTTAGAATAATGAGGGAAAGAAGGTCTATATTCCCTGAGACACGACTCCACTTGGGCTTCCTTGCCCCTCCCTGGCCTGGTTGTCCCACTTTATTTCGGTTCCTTTTCTCCTCAATAAACCTTTTCTTTTTTTTTTTTTTTTTAATAGAGGCATGTTTTATTTATTTATTTGTTTGTTTATACAAGCACTGGGTACAGTCAGAGGCGCTCTGCGCGCCATGCGGGGCCCTCCTCCGGTGGCCGGGGAGCAGCCGGGGATCGAACCGGCGGCAGAGGCCGCGGGCAGCTTCGCAACCCAGCGCTCAACCGCTGCGCCACCGGGGAAGCCCCTCAATAAACCTTTTCTTTCTCTAAACAAACCTGCCTCTACTCGCTTGCCGGCCTGAGCGTCTGCGAAGTTCCTGCTGCGGCTTCGTGAGACACCCACCGCGGGGGTCTATGGCCTCAGCGCTGCCCTGCAGCCTGGGCTCCTTCCCGGCTGGGAGACTAGGCCTGAACACCTACACCTCTGGTATCACAAGGATATGTGCTCCGAGTGTCAGCTTGGCGTTAGATGCTGGGGAAGAGCTTCGCAGACGGCGCACCTTCCCCTCGCGGGCCCCAGACGCGGAGCCGGCCAGACCCAGGTGGGCGGGGCCACGCGCGGCGGGGGCGGGGCCGGACTGCGGGGCGGAAGCTGGAACCTGGAGGCGGCGGAAGGACCGCCCCTGCGGGGCAAGATGGCGGCGCCCAGGCGGGCCTAGCGCAAGTAAGTGGCCGGGCTGAAGGGGTAAAGTTCGGGGAACTCCGGCGGAAGGGCCAGGGGCAGGGTATCTAGGCGGGTTGGCGGAGCCTGTCTGAGAGACTCGTTTGAACAGGAACGGCCGTAGCCTCTTCGATGCGGAGATCCCGAGCACGGCCCTCTGCTGCTTCAGAGGCTGAGACTGGGCGATTTCGATCCGCAGACGCGGTGGTCTGGGGCCGCCCGCTGCCGCGGAGCCCTGGGTGCAGCTGCCGGACCCAACGTGGGGCGGGTCCTGGCACTAACGGATGGCCTGCAGAGTGGGGGCCCCAGAGATTCCTCAGCTACCCGAGAAAACAGTGGGGTCCTTTGTTAGCGCTACTTTGCCTCGAGTTTACTCTCTAGGCACGGAGATCGTCCTGTTGAGTTCAAAATATCATGTCTTTTAGCACGGATTGATTCTGAACAAATCTGCTGTGGTGTTTATGGGGGAAATACATTGGTGACTTTACTTACGACTGAATAGTTGCTGTCATTTACTGAGGTTTATTTATGTGATTGCCAGGCACTGCGGTATGTTCTGTGCATGCCTGGACCGGGATCATCATCTGGAGGATTAAAGTCCAGTTCTCACACAGTTCTTCTTATATAGGACTTGTTGTTCACATTTTACAGTTGTGGAAGCTGGACTCGGCGTAACTTAAATAAATTACCCAAATTAGCTCTGCAATTAATACGTCGAGGAACGGGTGTTTGATTTCTGGCCTATTTCACTCTTATTCCTTTTGCAAAGCACATTATAGCCTACGAAGTAGGCCGGATTAGGTGTCTTGAACTCATGGATAAGTAAAATTATTTCTATTTGTTTTGATTTTTTTCAAAGATTTATTTATTAATGCATACAAGAACTGGGGTACAGGCCAGAGGTGTGGGGGGTGAGAGGATCCACCAGAGACAGAGTGGGGAGCAGAACAGGCAGAGTGACCAAAGTACACTGCTGAGGGGAGCAGCAGATGAGTCAGGAGAGTTCTGCTGCGCCATGTGGGTAGCTCCCTGACTGGGGATCCAACTTGTGCTGCAGTGGCTGCGGACATCTTCAAAGGTTGTGTCTTAACCCCTTGTGCCACCAGGGAGGTCCCATGTTCTGCTTTTAAATGTATATGTGGGGGGCCTCCCCGGTGGCGCAGCGGTTGAGCGCTGGGTTGCGAAGCTGCCCGCGGCCTCTGTGGCGCGGTTCGATCCCCGCTGCTTCCCGGCCACCGCGGAGGATCCCACATGGCGCACAGACCTCTCCTGCCGCCCGCTGCTCCCCTCAGCAGTGTATTTCGGTCCTTCTGCCTGCTCTGCTCCCCGCTCTGGCTCTGGTGAATTCTCTCACCCTCCCGCGCTTCTGACTGTACCCAGTGCATGTATAAACAAAACAAACAAACAAAATAAATAAATAAAACATGCCTCTATAAAAAAAAAATAAAAAGATTTAATAAAAAAAAAAAAGAAGTTTAAAAAAAAAAAAATAATAAATAAATGTATATGTGGGGTTACCATATCCCTTCATCCAAATTTGAGTGCATCATTTAACAAAAGGAAGACTTACAATTTGGGGCAATGCCATTTCAGCTACAAACCTTTGGAACTCCTATGTTTACAGGGGGAAAATTATATAAAGAGATCATGAAGTAAGAAATTACAGACCCAGGGCCTCCCCGGTGGCGCAGCGGTTGAGCGCTGGGTTGTGAAGCTGCCCGCGGCCTCTGCGGCGCCGGTTCGATCCCCGGCTGCTCCCCGGCCACCCGAGGAGGGTCCCACATGGCGCGCAGACCTCTCCTGCCGCCCGCTGCTCCCCTCAGCAGTGTACTTCGGTCCTTCTGCCTGCTCTTCTCCCCGCTCTGGCTCTGGTGAATTCTCTCACCCTCCCGCGCTTCTGACTGTACCCAGTGCATGTAAAAACAAAACAAACAAACAAATAAAATAAATAAATAAAACATGCCTCTATTAAAAAAAAAAAAAAAAAAAAAATTACAGACCCAGCATTTTGGCTTGGTCTTTGTCTAGCTAGGGATGGCGTCTCACCTCCATTTCTTTGTATTTCCAACCCCTTGTATTATTTTGTCCAGATTAAACTCTGAAAGAAAAAAAATTTGGTAGTGTTCTTAAATCAGATCCTCATGTTTTTGTTTTACCATTTCTACCACTTTTAACCCTCCCCTTTCCACGGTATGTTAGGTGATGTTTCCAAATACTGCCTAGTATTAGATCTGATCTACTTAAGTCTGGATGAAAAAAGACTAAGGAAATGTATTGCTCAGAACTTTCTTTATTCCTGCCTATCCAACCTGTCTCCCCTGCATCGCAGCCCTCTTTCCGCTTTAGGACACCAGTCAACTTCATTGAATTCTCCCAGTGCCATGTTTCTTCCTGCTTCCACTTTTGCTCAGCTGTTTTTTTCTCTAATGGTCTTCTGTCTTATCCTTGAAGGTCTGATTCAGTGGTTTTCAACTGGGGCTGATTTTCTTCCCTTGAGGGGACATTGGCAATATCTGGAGATATTTTTGCTTGTCACAGTTTGGGGAGGAAGTGTGCTAATGGCATCTGTAGGCTAAAAACCTGGCTAAACTTTTTATAGTGCACATGCCAGCCTCCTATAACAAAGAATTATCTGATCCCAAAGGTCAGTAGAGCTAAAACTGAGAAACCCTATTTTAATTCAAATCTTTGTTCTTTAGGAGAGTCTTCATAGGTCGCCCCAATCTCCCTGCCTCCATCTCTCAATTACAGACTTCTAGGATACTTAAACACACTAGTTAGTTGTAGGCTTAGGGCATAGTGGTTAAGAACATGGGCTGACGTCCTATCATTTACTTACTGAAATCTTTTTTTTTTTTACTATTTTTATTCCTTTTCTTTCTTTTTTTAAAAAATAATTTATTTATTTATACAAGCACTGGGTACAGTCAGACGCGCGGGAGGGTGAGAGAATTCAGAGCCAGAGCAGGGAGCAGAACAGACAGACTGATGAAGTACACTGCTGAGGGGAGCAGGGGGCAGCAGGAGAGGTCTGCGCGCCATGTGGGACCCTTGCCGGCGGCCGGGGATCGAACCAGCGCTGCAGAGGCTGCGGGCAGCTTTGCAGCCCAGCGCTCAACCGCTGAGCCACCGGGGAGGCCTACTTACTGAAATCTTGGGCAAATTATTCAACTTCTCAGCACCCCCTTTCTTCAACCTAAACTATAAATAATAATAGTAACCTATGATATAGCTGTTGCATAGATTAAATGAATTACTTGGAGAAAGTATTAGCACATATTAAATGGTCAATATATTTACTGTTTTAATAATAACAATAACAAATATTTTTATTTCGCTTCTAGCTCAGGGATCCCACCCAAACTAGCCACAAAATTTGCAGACATGTTTTATTTGGCCAACCCAAGATTGTTTTTCTAATTAAGGTATGATTCATATACCATCAAACTCACCACTTGAAAGAATACAGTTCTGTGGTTTTTAAAATATTCGCAAGGTTGTAACCAACATGACTGTTTAACTCAAGAACATTTTCATATCCGTAAAGGAAACTGTACCATTTAGCACTCACTTCCCTTCTCTCCTGTTCTCCTAGTCCCTAACACCCACCAATCTATTTTCTGTCTCTCTGGATTTACCCATTTTGGACATTTCATGTAAATGGAATTGTAATAGGAGGCCCTTTGTGACTGACTTCTTTCATTTTGCTTAATGTTTTCAAGATTCATCCATGTATCAGCACTTCATTCCTTTTTTATTGATTATATGTTGTATATATACACTATGCTTTGTTTATTCTGTTACACTACACTTCGTTTATCTCTTACTTAGATTGCTTTTACTTTCTGACTATTATGGCTAATTCTGCTACAAACATTCATGTGCACTTTGGGGGGTGAACATGTTTTCATTTTTCTTGGGTTTATATCTAAGGAGTGAAATTGTTGGTGTGTATGGTAACTTCCATATTTGCTAGGCCATTTTACCTTCCCACCAGCAATGTAAAGGCAGCCAGTTTCTTCACATACTTGCCAACACTTGCTATTTTCCCTTTTTTTTTTTTTTTTAAGATTTATCTATTTATGCATACTAGAGCTGGGGTACAGGCCAGAGATGCAAGGGGTGAGAGGACGCACCAGAGACAGAGTGGGGAACAGAACAGGCAGACTGACTGACTGAAATACACTGCTGAGGGAAGCAGCGGGTGAGACAGGAGAGGTCCCACGCCATGTGGGCATCTCCCTGGTCAGCCGGGAATCGAACCAGCGCTGCAGAAGCTGTGGACAGCTTCACAGCGCTGTGCTCAACCCACTGCGCCACCAGGGAGGCCCCTATATATTGGTCTTTTATAGCCTAAGGTTTTTAATGATTTGAATACCTTTAGGCCAGGCATGTTCTTTCCAGTTTGATACAGAATCACCACTCCCTGTTTTGACACATTTATCTGCTTGGCCTCTGATAATATTTTCCTTAGGTCATTCATTGATGGTTGTCCCTGAGAGTTTTATCATTCACAGATTGTAAGCAATCTAAGTTGGCAGTAAATACTGTTACTAGGCTGGTGATATTAGGGAGGGTGGAAATAAGGAGGGGGTGGTAATAAGGTACAAATGAGTTGGAATGAACCCAAGAGAAAAAGAGTCTTTGCTGATGTACAATAAAGAGAGAATCAAGTGTTAGTTGCAGAGGGCCATCACCTTTATTGCTTTCAGGGGTGAAGGAGAGAATTCCCACACCAAAGCAGTGTTGGAAAGATTCACCAGGGGAGGCAGCCAACAACGTGTCAAGATGCTCTCTAGACCAAAGCCCGGGGAGTCTGAGGTGGATCTGCTGCACTTCCAGAGTCAGTTTCTTGCAGCTGGAGCAGCCCCAGCTGTACAATTGGTGAAGAAAGGAAGCCGGAGATGCGGCGATGTTAACCTGGCCCAGCGTCCACCGCAGGAGCATCGGGATGTGGTGATGCTGGACAGTGAGTGGCTGTGGGTGCAGCCAGACTGCGGGGAGAGGCAACATCCCTGGGGCTCCTTCCTCTCTCTTTCTTTTTTTTTTAAGATTTATTTATTTATGCATACAAGAGCTGGGGTACAGGCCACAGGTGTGGGGGTGAGAGGATTCACCAAAGACAGAGTGGGGAACAGAACAGGCAGATTGACCAAAGTACACTGCTGAGGGGAGCAGGAGAGGTCTGCTGCACCATGTGGGTAGCTCCCTGGCCGGGGATCAAACTTGTGCTACAGAGGTTGCAGACAGCTTCATAGGTTGTGTCTTAACCCCTTGCGCCACCAGGGAGGCCCTCCTTCCTCTTTCTGATGTGACTGGACTCTGCTTGTTATTTCAGACACTGCATAGCCCCATTTTACAGTTGAAGAAACTGAGGCTAAAAGAGGTTAAGTATCTTGCCTCAGGTGACATAGCTTGAAGTCAGGGCCCCACTACAGCTGCCTTTTGTTCTTTGACTTCCCCCTGGCCCTCAGTCTCTTCCTGGGAAGGTGTGAATATCCTCACAGCTAGTTTTTTTTCCCTTAGGTCTCCCAGATTTGCCTCCAGCTTTGGTTCCTGCTCCCCCAAAGAGAGCCAGACCCAGCCCCGGTCGACCTCTACCTGAACACGAGGACCCTGAAGAGAGGCTGAACAGGCATGATGAGCACATCACTGCTGTCCTGACCAAGATTATTGTGCGTCTCACCCTGGCTGAGTGGGATGAGGCATTCCGGGGCAGCGAGGATGTTGGGTGGGGGGGTGAGCCTGATGAAATCGTGGGTGACTCAGAAGGGTGGAACTTTGACCACTGCAGTAACATCGGGGGCTGATTTACAATTACTTTTCAAGGAGGGTCAGGCATGACTCCTTGAGCAAGTTTCTGAGGGTCAGGCATGACTCCTTGAGCAAGTTTCTGGTCCTGGAGAACTGGGCCCAGCCTGCGTCATCTCTATATTGTTACTACTTTGTGCTTTGTTGTTGCAGGAGCGAGATACAAGTTCAATGGCTGTAAATCTGCCTGTGGCCAGTGGTGTTGCTTTCCCTCCTGTATTCCATCGTGCACAGGGGAGACAGGTAGGCAGGTGGTAGATGGTGCTTAGGGGACACCCAGGTGAACCTCCTAGTATATCTTCCCAGGTAGACAATCTTAGTGATAAGCAGTTCTGTTGTTAAAGCAGCACCATGCTAAACACTTCATATGCATCACTTGGTTTAATTCTCCTAACAGCAACTATATAAGACAGCTGCCATCCTATTTTTCAGATGAGGAAACTAAGGGGTAAATAATTTGTTCAACACTATACATCTAATAGGTAGAAGAGCCAGAAACCTAGCCCAACTCTATCAGACTTCAACACCTGTGCACCTACCTGGCTTTGCTTTTCTGAGGACTAGGGTTGTGTCTCTGGATATTTAACAAAGTTCCTTCTTTTTTTTAATCTCTTTATTTTCAACCTTGCTAGAAACGGGTTGAAAAGAGAATGAGGCAATGAGCATCAGTCCGCTGCATTTTCTTTTTGCCCCACAGGGAAAGCCAGCAGCATCTGGTAAGAAGAGCATCTTTGCCCAGGAAATTGCCGCAAGGAGAGGGTCTGAAGCCAGGGTCCCTCCCGTTGGAGAAGACACATCCATGCTGGGCTCACCAGGAGGTGAGTCGGGGTTAAAGAGATGGCTTTTTTGTAAGGCATGATCATCGAGTCATCTTAGGATCTGTATCTTCCCTGCCTTAAATATGAAATGCACTTCTTCCATTGAAAGAGAAATCTGTCCCTCTACACCCACTCAGAGTATTGAGTATGAGAGGCTTAGGTCCACACCTGTGTCTGAGGTGCAGGGAGAAGGCAGGCTATTACTCTACCCTGGGAAAAACGAATGGGTGAAAGTGTCTGGCAGGGGCTGTAAAGATGTAGGCCAGGGTTGCTTTAATGATGCAAATTACTGAGAGAAGATCTGAGGGTGGGCCTCTAGAGACTGCCTAGACAGTCACAAGGAGAATCAAGTGTTACTGAGGGAAACTTTTCATACTAGTCCTGGGGTGGTAGAGAGGCTACCATCCCAACCCAATCCCAGTCTCCAAGGTTAACCGGTATTACAAAAGTATAATCTTCAAATGGTGGAGGGTAATAAAACTGAACCTGGTATCCCTGATGGTGCAAGGGGTTAAGATGCAGCGCTGTGAAGCTGTCCACAGCCACTGCAGCATGAGTTCGATCCCCAACGAGGGAGGTGACCCACATGGTGCAGCAGACTGCAGTGTATTTCAGTCAATCTGCCTGTTCTGCTCCCCACTCTGTCTCTGATGAATCCTCTCACACCTGCATCTCTGGCCTGTACCCCAGTTCTTGTATGCATAAATAAACATTAAAAAAAAAAAAAAAGCCCTGAACCTGCACTTCTTCCAGGCACTGTGACCTGTGAGGTACTCACACCTAGGGATCAGGACGGCCAGCTTCCTCAGGGCAGCCACCGCTTCGTGGGACCCCATCTGGTCACAGGAAAGGGACTCAGATGCCAGGAGGCTGAGCAGGAAGTCCAGACTATCCACGAAGAGAATGTCGCAAGACTGCAAGCCATGACTCCTGAGGAGATCCTGCAGGAACAGAGGCAGTTGCTGGCTCAGCTTGGTATGGGCACCTGGCTCTCCTGCTAACACAGGATAGGAGGGCTTCCGGTGTGTGCCAGCCATGGTGCCGGCTCCTGTAATGAAGGATTTCATTCTGCCCTCAGACTATTCCTGGGACGTAGGTAATACTAATGTCATTGCTCATATATGGAAAAGAAAAAAATCTGAGGCTCAAAACCTAACGAAATTCTCCCCCTGGCCACATAATTGGTAAGGAGCACAGCAATGAGATGCAAACCCACCTCTGTCTGGTCTCACAGCCCCTACTGTTCATCTCCACACTGTGTATACTGGAGCCTAGTGCAACAGACACTGTTGTAGCCATACTCCAGCACAGCCACGCTGTTCTCGGTAATAAGAGGATGCCACGTCTCCTTGCTTCTGTTCACCAAAACTGTAGCACCAACTGTCTTGTTCCAGGCTCTTGTGTCTAGCACCTGTAAAGAGCAGAGCATATATTGGATTTTTAGTCAATATTGGCGGCGAAAGAATTAGCAGAAAGTGAGCGAAATGATTCCCCTAAGTGTATTTCCCATGCCCTAGTCAGCATGTGTTTGCTTATTCCACAGCCACTTAGTTTGGACATCTGACTTGGAACCAAACACAGGGAGGGCATAGGCCTGAACCGGGGGGCTGTGAGGGGTGGAGGGAATGAGGACAAGCAGGTCCCAGTGAAAGGTAGGAGAAGACAAGTTCATAGAGGCCCCAGGAGAGCCCAAGAGGCTCAGGTCAAGCCTGGCATGTAGTTTGTCCTGGCCTTGGCACCCACAGGCAGGTGGTATTCAGCAGGCCCCGGTTTGTAGGGGGCTGAGGAGCATCTGCCTCCATAATTCTCCCCTCCATCCTCTTCACTAGATCCCAGCTTGGTTGCCTTCTTGAGATCTCATAGCCACCCCCAGGAGCAAGTAGGCGAGAAGGCCGTGGAGGAGCAGAGGTCAGAAGGATCCTCTGTGGAAGTCACTGAAAAGGAGCCCCTTGTGGCAACTTCTGCCAGTGAGCCCAAGAAGGAAGATGAGCTGGAGCCAGGAGCCCCAGGTTTGGAGGGTGGGAGGATCACCTTTCGGGGAATAAAAGGAGAAAAAAGCCCTTCTGCTAGGCCTGGCAAATAGGAAAAGAGAGAATCTTCTCTCTCCTTGGGCATGTAATGCTCACTATTGGCTTGAAATCAGTCTTCATTTGCTGATGCGTGTCTTCTTCCTGTGTGTGCATCCTGTTCTCTTGTCTGTTGCTGTTCCTTCTCCCCCTTCCCTGGTAAGAGGCAACACTGTGATAGCTGATTGGCCTCTGCCCCTTGCAGACCAGCTACTCCTGCCTTTGGGTAGCTGATCCAGCTCTGGCTCAGTCCAGCCTACCGTTCTTTCTGCCTCTGATCTCAGAGTTGGGGGACATGGCAGGTGGAGGGTGATTGGAGAGGTAGGGGCTGACGCACGTCTGATGAAAATGTCAGATCTGAAACAGAGAAGCCAGTGGGAGCAATTATTTCCAGGAACTAGATTTTATTAGTGATTAAAAAGGAAGAAATTGAATTATGAGAGCCAGGAATCTGCTGCCCCAGGATGAACTCCCAGCTAGCTGAGCAGGTGGGGATGAGGATTGCAGTGAGGAAGGAAGAAAAGATTGTGGGTCTGTTTTTGTATCTTATCCCTTCCTCGTTGCCCCTCCCCACTGCTCCTTTAGCGGGTGGGCAGCTATGTTTTCCCTGCTGTGCTGGTCCTCCCTTCCTCCTCTCTCTTCCTCACTTCCTCCTTCTCCCAACAAATCCTTGGTGTCAGTGGAGGCAGAAGCTACCAGACTGCTGGGCAGGGGTGGATGTGGCACTTTGGGGTAATGGATGGGCCCCCAGGGGAGCAGTGAGCTGCATCTCTTAGGAAATGCTACTTTGCTTCTGTCCCCCAGCTCTGACTCTGCCCGTGACCCCTCATAAAGAATGGCTGCACATGGACACTGTTGAGCTGGAGAAGCTCCACTGGACTCAGAACCTGCCCCCACTCCGGCGGCAGCAGACACAGGAGGTGAGGAGGGTCAAGCGGCTTACAGGTGGGCAGGCGGGGGGTGGCCTGTAGCTCTTGCACCCGGTACTCAGGCCCTCCTCTTCCCTCGAGCTTGAGAAGCCTCTCCCTTTGCACTCAGCCTCCTCTCCCATCGCCTTGCCTCGACTCAAGGGCCAGGAGAGTCAGGACCCAAGTCCTGGGAGGTGGAGGATTAAAGGTGGAGGATTAAAGGAGGATTAAAAGTGGTGCAGGGCCCAACACTAATGATAAAGGACTGATCACAAAAATCTGCAAAGAGCTGATGAGACTCAACAACAACAAAGAAAATAATCCAGTCAAAAAATGGGCAGAAGAGCTAAAAAGAAACTTCTCTGAAGAGGAAATGCAAATGGCCAACAGGCATATGAAAAAATGTTCAACATCACTTGTCATCAGGGAAATGCAAATCAAAACTACCATGAGATACCATCTTACACCAGTGAGAATGGCACAGATTAAAAAAACTAGCAACAACAAATGTTGGCGAGGGTGTGGAGAAAAAGGAACTCTCCTGCACTGTTGGTGGGAGTGCAAACTGGTCCAACCACTATGGAGAGCTGCGTGGAGATTTCTGGACCTACTAAACATAGAGCTTCCATATGATCCAGCAATTCCACTCCTAGGTATTTACCCAAAGGACACAGAAACATCCATTCCAAAGAGCACCTGCACCCCTATGTTTATAGCAGCACTGTTTACAATAGCTAAGCTTTGGAAACAACCCAAATGCCCAAAAATAGATGACTGGATCAAGAACATGTGGTCCATATACACCATGGACTATTACTCAGCATTCAAAAAAGATAAACACATGCCATTCGCAGCAACATGGATGGCGCTGGAAGGGATCATGCTCAGCGAAATAAGCCAAAAAGAAAAAGAAAAATACCGGATGGTCTCACTCATAGCAGGAATCTAGAAAACTTAAATAAGGGACCAGGAAAATGAATAACTATAAGAAAGTGAAAATCAAAATCAACAAAAAACTATGAACCAGAGACACTTTTTGGGGGGTGGGGGGCGGGAGGGGAGGGATTGGGGTCAGAATGGGGGGGTTGCAATTGTATGGGGAATATAAAAAAAATTATTATTTAAAATAAAAAAAAAAAAGTGGGTGCGGGGGAGTTGCTGCTGCCCCTCTCCATAGCCCTCTTTCTTCTCCCATTAGCGGATGCAGGCCCGATTCAGTCTTCAGGGAGAGCTGCTGGCCCCGATGTGGACCTGCCCACCCATCTGGGTCTGCATCACCATGGAGAGGAGGCGGAGGTGAGGCCTGGGCAACTCTGGCAAGTGCTTTGAACCACCGTGTGGAAAAGAACCTCTGGTCAGTTGCCATGGACCTCCTGTGCGCCCTGCTCTGGTTCATGGCCTTTCTGTCCATTCCTGATCGCCTAACTAAGCGGACTTGAACTCTTCTAGTAGTCCCCTTACATTCTAGTCAGTGGCAGGACTTACCCGTTCTGTGTCTGCCACCTCCCGTGATGTGTCCTCATTGTGAGCCATGCTTCCTCGCGACTGCTCCACCGCGTGGCCCGCTCTCTCCACTGTGCCATTCTGTCCCTCATGGGGCTGCCACCCCATTTCCTCGGGCCCAGCTTGGGCCATGCCTTGCCTCAGAAGTTTCCTGGCTCCCCTCTGCCTGCAGAATAAGGTCTTAGCTCCTTAGCCACACAAGATATCCCTTCCACAGCTTCTCCCTGCTGACCCTGCAGCTCCCGCCCTCCTGCTGTGCATGGACAGTCCTCTCCCCACGTGCACCTGTGCTCTGGGACCTCCAGAGCTCAGCTCTGAAACCTGCCCCAGGGGTGTGTTGGCCCTTTGCCCCCTGCCAGGCCATCGTAGCTCCCACCACCCCCGAGGCCAACCACATTTCTGCTCTCTTGCTCTCCAGTTGCAAATTAAATACCAGTGACTACACTCTTCCCAAGCAGCCTCATGCCACGGGTATTGAGTACACGCCTTTCTTTTTACCAGTTTGCAGGGCCATGGAGAGCAGAGGCAAGAATTAATCACTTATGCTTGACACACAGTGCTGGCACTTGGGGTGGGAGGGTGCTCCCCTCTGTCTTGGCTCTTTCTAACTTCTTGCCCCTGCCTCAGAGAGCAGGGTACTCCCTACAGGAGCTGTTTCACTTGACACGCAGCCAGGTGGCCCAGCAGAGAGCACTAGCGCTGCATGTGGTGGCCCAGGTCATCGACAGGGTGAGTGGACTGCAGGCCTGGGCCTGCCCCCTGCCTTAGATTCTCCCACCTCTGCCCTTCCACTCTGGCTGATGAGCCCATACATCAGCTGACTGTGGGTCAGACTGGGAGTGGGACCAACCCACAGTCATCGGTGGGCAAGGAAGGGTTTAGGACAAAGAGTATAATCTTCAGTTGGCTTTTATCCTCCTGTCCCCAAGGCCCAGGCTGGGGAGTTTGGGGACCGGCTAGTGGGCAGTGTTTTGCGCCTTCTTTTGGATGCTGGTTTCCTCTTCCTCCTGCGCTTCTCCCTGGATGACAGAGTGGATGGGGTCATCGCAGCTGCTGTCCGTGCTCTTCGGGCTCTGCTGGTCGCTCCTGGAGATGAGGTACAATGGGGATAGGAGTGGGGCTTTGAGACTTCAGGCTCCCTATGTCCTGCTGGCCATGCCCATGTTGCTGCAGCTTTGCCATGAAGAGCAGAAAATGGAATGGCAGCTTTACTCTCTTCAACCAAAGGCTCCGAAGCCCAGGAGCCTTTCCTTTTTTTTTTTTAAGATTTATTTATTTATGCATACAAGAGCTGGGGTACAGGCCAGAGGTGTGGGGGGGTGAGAGGATTTCCAGAGACAGTAGGGAGCAGAACAGGCAGATCTACTGAAACACACTGCTGAGGAGAGCAGCGGGAGACAGGAGAGGTCTGCTGCGCCATGTGGGTAGCTCCCTGGCCGGGGATGGGACTCAGGCGATAGCTTGATAGCACTGTGTCTTTCACCCCTGAGCCACCAGGAAGGCGCAGGAGCCTTGCCTTTCTCTCTGTGGGTGGCCTCCGCTCCCTACTCCTGGGCCCATTTCCTAGCCTGTCCTTCTCCTTCCCTCCCGATTCCCTTTCCATTGGCAGGAGCTCCTTGACAGCACCTTCTCCTGGTACCATGGAGCTCTGGTGTTCCCTCTGATGCCCAGTAAGGAGGACAAGGAAGATGAGGACGAGGACGAAGAGCCCACA